ATGGAGTCAAAAATGGAAGGAGGATCGATTGAGCAATGACAACATCGAATTTTATTTTCTCCGCGTGTATGAGTCTGGAAATATCAGATGTTATATTACAAAATGACTTTCGACGTAACATTAGCATTCGAATCTTTTAATGCTGAAAAATTTAGTTAATTTCCAAATAAATCTGTTTCTTTTTTTTATCAGGAATTGGAATAATGTGAACTAATGTCTAGCAATAAAGTTAAGTCGGTACAATTACTTTAGAAATACCCTGGTAAAAATTGGCGATAGGAGCAGCGTTACAAAATACCATAGGAATTCTTATAGCCGGCTAAAGAAGGCAATCGAAAATCATATAGCTGGCTGTAGAAAGCGGAGCAAATTATATAGCCGGGCTATACGAAGCGATAAAAAAGTATGCAGCCGGGCTATAGTTCCTATCGCCGGGCTTTACACTTTATCGCCATCGGCTATAAAAGGCTATAAGAAATTGTGTAGAAATTTGTGTGCTTTTGAAATCATTAAGTTTGATTCGGAACCACCATAATATTCACAAAACGCACATTACATTTTCCTTTAATACATATTTTTTTTCATCAATTAAAATGAGAATAATCCATACAGGATGTGCAAACATTTCAAAATCATGAGTTGAAAAACGCTGACTCCGCAAGATTATATTGGAGCCTAACACAGAGCGGAGCGGCGTGCTGCCAGCGATAAGCGCGCACCAGCGCCTACAAACCTAACAGGGATACTTCACGCATTGCGCAACGCGTGAAGTATCCCTGTTAGGTTTGTAGGCGCCAATGCGCGTTCAGCGCTGGCTGCCCGCCCGCCGCGCCGCAACGTGCCACGGCGCTTGAAGCAACTATTTCACACCAGAGGTATTGCACAGGATCATACGAAATTGAAGGCGCTCCAACATATTAGGAATGGCAGGCATCCTTCAAAAGTGCGGAGCTTCCGCGCAAAATAAATCAAGATATTACGGCCCAAAAAAAGAGCGGTAGTCCAAAAACTCAATAAGTCCTAGCATCCGTAATTAGTAACATTTAGCATACATTTTATCGCCTGGCTGTTGCTCAATCGCCATCGGCTATAAAAGGCTATAGAAATTGTGCAGCCGGCTATAGAAGCTATTGAAAATCTTACAGCCGGCTTTAGGTCTATGGTATTTTGGAACACAGATTCTACTGCCAATTTTCACCAGGGATAAGCCCGAAATCTCTTGAAGGACCTTGAAGAAAATCGACCCATTGAGAGTTCGTCTCCAAGGACTGAGATTCAGTTAGGGTGCGTGAATGATCGATTTTCGATTTTTCTCTATTTGAAGCTATGGCAAAGAATCGATTATTAAGGTGTTCGTTGCGAACACCCTGTTTATCGATCCTTTTCTATTAGTTCAAATGACAGATCAATCGATACATCACGCCACTGATCGAATTCTTTTCCTCGTAGAAAACACATGAGGAGACACTAAGAAAGAGGGAGATTTGGTGGTAGGCCCCTTCCAAAAATTGTGAGGGATATTACTCCAAACAGGCGCGCAAAATATCTTTCATCCTTAAAATTGTGCTCCGATCGATGTTTCGAGAAATGATAGCTCAAAATTGCTCCTAACACGCACTGGAAAAAAAAACACATTGGATCTAGAGTCCAGACTCTTGAAAACATTGACAAGAAAAAATACTCTTGATTCAATCTGATTTTTGCTTGAATCAAAACGAAATTCGCTTAAATTAAGAAGCTTGGTTCTTGATTTAAGCTAGATTCTGATTGAATCGAGAGTACTTTTTCTTGTCGATGTTTTTAAGAGTCTGGGCACTAGATCCAATGTGTTTTTTTTTTTTTCCGGTGCGGCAAAATTTTTAAAAACTTCCTGAGGATGGCCCCTTTTGGAGCAAGGGAAGTCCACAAACTTTCATTTGGAGCGGGAGCAAGACGCAAGAGTCCTCCAGACCAACCTCCTTGGTGGGATTTCTTTCTGCGTCGCACCCTCAGTGGGTTGCTATTGTACCCCTCCCCCTCCCCCTCGTCACAGAAAATTCTTAGTTCGATCCTTGAGCATTTATGTTGTTATTCCTTTCGCACTCCTCCTCGGCGAATGGCTTTCAGTACATCTATATCATATCTGCTGCCTAAAATTTCCATCTAGAAAACCCGAATCCTTTTCTTTTCCAGCACCCCTCTAACAAAAAAAGTATTCACTCAACTTTCATTCAACATCTTCCTTGTACATCAGTGACACGGCGTGCTTTGCGATACATCGATTGATCTGCCATTGAAACCTATGGAAAAGGATCGGTAAACAGGGTGTTCGCAACGAAACACCTTGATAATCGATTCTTTACCACAACTTCAAATAGAGAATTATCGATAATCGATCATTTACGCCTCGCCACTGTTGCTTAATCAACACTTACTGTTTGAACTGGAGGAATGCCTCACTTTGAAGCTCTTGTTTCACGATGTTTATCGCACCCGGCAATATAGAAGGTAGGTCCCATTTTGAAACTATCCGCTGATATAGTTTCGTTCCTTTCTCATCATCTTTGTATCGATATCCGAATGAGAGGTCAGCATATGTGTAGTTACTGTGCTTTTCCAATCCCTATAATAAAGACACATCATTTGACAATGAGTCACAGTGGCGTGGCGTGCATGATCGATTATCGACATTTCCCCATTTGAAGCTATGGTAAAGAATCGATTATTAAGATGTTCGTTGCGAACATCTTAATATCGATCTTTTTCCATAGGTTTTAAGGGCAGATCAATCGATATATCTAAAATCACGCGCCACGCCACTGATGAGTCAGTTGTGCTGGTTGCGCTGGAGTTGCGTGTTTTGGTGCTTGATTCTTGCAGATTAGCCAAAAATAATATGATCTGCCCAAACCAGTGTTCGAAACTCACCTTTGAGTTTTAGGAGCCGTGTGGCTCATCAAGCCTGCTTTTTAGGCGCCATTGAAAACTTTTCAGGGGCCACATTGACTTTTTGCCTATATATTACGGCATATTTAGTGAAAAATTAGACGTAAGATGTTTTCGTAACAGAACTAATAAGTAGCTGTAACTTGGGGAAGACAAAATCACCAAGGATGAAATCGTGAAAAATAGAAAAAGTTTTCACTTGTAGTGCTGAACATTTCGAATAATCACCTGATATGAAAATTAAGATTTTTAAGGGGCAATTTTTAGGGGCCACGTTGGCCCAGAGTCTTCATTTTTTAGACGCCATGACCGATTTTTTAGGCGCATTTGGCGCGTTGGCGCCTGTGAGTTTCGAGCACTGGTCCAATCGCTCTTTGAAAAGTCGGTTTTTTGACGTCATTGCGCTAGTGACATCCTTGGTTTCTTCCACCTTGCTTTCATCCGAGTTAAACGTTAAACAACCAGTGCTCATTTGCGTCACACCGACTGATGAAAGCAAGGTGGAAGAGACCAAGGGTGTCACTACCGTGGTGGATGACGTCAAAAAAACCGACTTTTCAAAGAGCTTCGGTCCGATCCTTCGGAGCCGATCCTTCGGTTCATATTGAACGCAGAAAGTTGCCGTTTGGACAGATCATATTATTTTTGGCTAATCTACAAGACTCAACGCGAGACACAATGCAGCTTTTTGATATTGAAGTCAATGATATTATTTTAACACGCGCATTTCCATAGTGCATTCTCCACATTTTATTCTCCTCTGCCCTTTTGAGAGGCCAGTCTATTTTTGAGTGGCTCAACTGATTCGAAAATGGAAAGATAATACAATTACCCTTTACGATTTGAAGTGTGTACTTACTTACCGGCACCACGTTTGGACTGACAACAAATAACTCATGGCCCTCTGCGACCAACCTTTCGGTCAATGCTAAGATGGGACGTTGATGGCTAAAAGAAGGATATGGGTTCAATACCAAAATTTTGAAGGCCTCTAAGTTGGCCACAAGCGCGAAGAAAATCATAAAAATCATTATCAATCCGTCTTTCTTTTACGGCGTCGTGAGAGTATTTTGCCCGTTTGAAATCATTTTAAAATGTAAAACTTCGCAGTCTGAGTCTGACAGGCAATTAAAAATAAAAAACGGAACCAAAAATAGCACTTCCACTCAGCAAAAAAGACGTCACTGATAGTTTTTCCGTCATCAAAATCATATGTATGGGTTCACGTAGTGTAGCACAAGGTCTCGGAATTTAATGTAAGCGTTATTCGGGAAACTGGTACCTATCGTAATCGATTTTCTGGTTGAAGTGGTCAAGTATTTCATACATCAATCACACTCAGCTTTGACCCATCATACATTGAATTTCCGAAAGATAAATTGAAAAGTTCGGATTAGGGAAAGGTACTTGTCTATTCCGTCTTTTATCTCGGATCGAAGTGAGATCGGATTAAACCGAAAACATGCTCTCGGCATGGTGACTCGAAATTAAGAATAGGTATTCGGCTTCTCCTCGAAACTTCGTTTTTTTAAGTGCAAACTTTAAACAATCATATTTTCAGTCCAGTTCATACATTTTTGGGCGTTATGATTCTCACAATGTTCGTGGAGGACCCCCTGGACCCCTCTATGCTCTGGGAAGTCTGAGATGATAACTCGACTTGGAGTGGATGGCTACAAATCGGCCGAATTAAACAGAGAGAGATCAAGTCAAATTTTCGTAGAAATTGAGCAAGAAGCATTCTATGAGCTTAAGAACCTGCACATTATATACTCATGTCAAAAATTCAAAGCTACGAAAAAATAATTTGAACGTGAAAACGGGCCTGGCACTCTATCTATAACATTGAACTTAATGGAGGAATGAAGTTCAAAATTCTCTTAAATCATCTTTAACATTGAACTTAATGGAGGAATGAAGTCCAAAATTCCCTTAAATCTTAGTTCGATTCCTTTTTAATTAAATTTGGTCAAAATCAGGAATATCCGAAAGGTGAAATCTTCATCGTTGAATCATTGTTTAAATCAACAAATGTATAAGAATAAATTGTAAAAACAAGTGGATTACAATTTTCTAAAGAGTTATTGAAGTACATTTAATCAAATACAATGGCCGGGACGGGAGACAGGTACAATGGCATAAAAAAAGTATTTTTGATAATTCGTCATCAGGACATCAGGAGGATCTCTCTGATGATTGATTTTTGGACATGGACTGCCAAAATTGTACTCTGTCCGCAAGTAAATTTTCTTCCACCGAAAGTTCGCCGCCCGTGATATGTAGATATTTGTGTGTCCCGCTCGTCTGACCCATCGGCTCCCAATCCAAGTTTGTCTGGTCTGGTTTTCTAAATAATCGATGGAGAGAAAATTATACGAATAAATAATGCAAAATATTTCTGAAATAAATGGTATCTCAGCTTGAAAAGAGAGAACATTGCCAATTTGTGTCCAAATAAACCAAAAACTATCGATACAATCCAAATAGTTCGATTTTCTCTCAAAATTATGAGGGTCCTTATTGCCCTTCAAAATAATCAATAATTTGTAACATGCTGGAAGTAGCTTAATTAACTTAGTAGATGGGTATGTAGCCACGCATACCCACCCACACACACATAATATGCACATTTTTTAGCACTTTGGCAATATTCCCACCGACCAAACCCTTCAAAATGAATCACGGGATAAATTGTATAGAGCAGACAAGTCATATTTTGATCAAATTAATTAACACCTAAAGTATCATCATGTTGATCGGAAACGAATTGTGTGCATGAGCAACAAAACTTGCATACATACAAGGTAGAAACTCAGTCCGCCTTCAAACATGAAGATAGGCAATTTAAACTACGTAGGAGTTGATATAGTCGCATCACTTAGTTTGGTACTCTCAGCATCAACGCTTTAACATTAACATAATGGAATTTCCATCTCACTTTTCTGAAAGGATTAAAGGGTTCGGAGGAAAAAGCGCAGAGGTGCAGTTATTTCAATCTCGAGAAATATGTGTTGGAAGTTTTGAAATTACATGGAGCCTCATGGCGGAAAGAAAGTTCAAACTGACTTTTTGATGCTTAAAAATTGAAATTTTGGAGCGAATTTTTCACAGAATATGCCTTGCAACTAGTTTTACTTGATATCATTGATATCTCCTTTTTTTAAAAACTGCACTTACGCGCCTTGTCCTTCAAGCCCCTCATTTCTTATTTTCCTTGAAATGGAGCACATATAAAATGCACGTATAAATACATATGTTACGCCGCGCCGCAAAAAAATGTTTACTTCAGTCTAAATGATCGATCTTAAAAATACCCAAATTTCGATTCGGGGCACACTGCATTCATCTTTGAGCGAAGCGTCCATGAATATGAGGGAGAAGCCCAGTTCGCCTTCAATTCGAAAGGTATGCAATTTGGGCTACCCAAGAGTTAAAATAGTTGTATCACTCAAAATTATTCTCTCGGCCTCAACGCGCTTCAACGATATAAAAATCGAACTTTATTCTTCACCAGACTTCAAGGGGCTTTATTCACTTTGAAAGTACTTAAAGAATAACCTTTTCTGGGACGAAAAATTCTTCTTTTAGTCTTGAAAATCGATATTTAAATTATCTTTTTTTCACTGAGACATCCCGTGTAATGTAATTGGTACTCACCCGTTTCTTGCAAAATGGGTCCAAATATCAATCGTCCTTCTCGAAACTTTGTCTTCGTCCTCAGACCAAGTTCTGTTTGGAATCTTACTCGGAAGTGGAAACAAATCGAACAATCCGTCACCGTGAATTACAGTCCCTGAGGAGAAGTGAATGTATAAATCAATGGCCAAAATGCAAAACCGCGTATCTCATTGCGGTGTTTCAAAATCTCCGCCCCTATTTTATTTTTTTGGCTTAAAACTGAGTAATTATCAGTCGGAGAAAAACACTGCAAAATATTAAAAAATGTTTGAAAATACCTGGAATCTACCCGATGGCTCGCTTGTTATTCTCGACTACCATTATGCAGATCTCAGGTTTTTTCGGGGAAAAAATTTATATTTTGTAGTGTTTTTCTCCGATAAAAAATGGCTTAGTTCTGAGCCAAATCGTCTCGGTTTTCATTCTGTATATTTGGATTGCATTTTGCAAAGAGGAACCACAAGAATTCCAATGTTGCTAAGATTGTGCAACTTTTTAACCTTGCAACTATAGACTGATCATCTAATTAAAATGTATCTTTACCCCCAAAAAACTATAAATTTAAGACGAAAATTACCTTCGGAAATTCAACTTTTTGCATAAGTCAGTAATTTTATTACAAAAATTGTAAGTTGCACAATCTTAGCAACATTGGAATCCTCTCGGTTCCTTTTCGCAAAATGCAATTCTTTTAGCCTTGTTTCCCCTAGCTTTCTCGTGTCACCAATGTCACGGGCTGGTGTGTAAAAACTTTGTATCAATGTACCTATTATAAAAGAGGACACTGACCTTCAATTCTCTTTTTCGCGGATGTGCTATTGCCACGAAAGTCGGAGTGTAGATAATCGTAATAAAAAAGATACGCCTCTCCCTTGTGTTTTTCAGCAGTCCCAACGATTCCACTCATGAACCACCTATCTGAGAGCAGCTATGAAAACCAAAGAGAGGACAAATTGAGCCAATTTATAGAGGTGCAAAAAATTAGTGAATATTTCGATGGTAAAACTGTAAAAACTTAATGGTAGCTTGATTGTAAAGTTTTCAATTGCCGGTCTAATGTTTTAACAAAAAAAAACTGAGAAACTTAAAAAAAAATATTTTGAGGCAAAGAACAATGATGCAAAATTTAAAAATTGAAAAACAAGTATATGAAACTCCACCACGGTCTTTGGGCTAGAGAGGGGCTTTAAGAACCGTACTGTACTGCCGTGCTAAGAAAGAACGCCGTATGAACATTCGAGAGTTACCAAATTTCCTTCAATGAAATATTTATTTTTAAGGAGAGTTACGAGCATTTTCCCTGAAATTTTTAGACATTTTAGATCAATAAATTACGAACAAAATTAGCTTGAAAATTAGAGAAGAAATATTCATACGTGTCACAGAAAATTCGTTTTTTATGAAAAGAATCTGGCAACGCCTGAAGGTCCATTCGGCGTTTCTTCTTAATGTGGCAGTATAGTGAAGATGAGAAAGATGGAATATGGAAAGACGCACAGTGGATCGAGTCAACTAGAGAGGTCGGACACTAAATTTTTGACTAAAACTGCAAATTTTAATGTCTACTTCGTCACATTTTAAACTTTAAGGGGTACTTCTAGAGGAAAATTTCACGAGGAAACCGATGGAACCACTTTTAGAACCTCAAAATTTAGTTTAAACGGAGTTGTAAGTTTTTAAATTTTCCAAATTCTGTCCGACCTCTCGTATTGACTCGATCCACTGTGCGACGCATGAGTACACGATCTGAACATTACGCCAAGACACGAATCATAATCTCCAACCAGAGAGACTGTGCTACAAATTATTACATGTATGACAAATGCTCGAAGTGAGGCTAATTAAAATCGTTGCCTGTAAAAATAGATGCACTCAAGCCCGAAATTTTCAGATCTCAGCGAAATCTCTTCATTTTACAATTACACACTGGAAAAAAAGTTACGGGCTATACAGCAGTTACGGTTAGATACACTGTCCGTTCCGGGCTCAGAGGCCGAAAGTTCCGAGTGCTGGAGCCGTAGCTTCGATCGCTCCGGATGCTACGCCTGGAATTTTCGGCCTCTGAGCTCAAAACGTGGCCGGTAAGTACGGCCTCCACGGCCGGAGTTTTTTTCAGGGTCAGTGAAGCGAAAGATAAATTCTAAAGTAAATATCTAATTATATTGAAGGAAAAAAATATTCATTTTGTTGAGGATTTACTCAATAAATTTACAATACTTCCACGTACGCTGATAATTTCTGTAGTGGCCCGGAAGTCTACGCGTTTCTGCCCAAAGTAAAAGTCTATTAGCTGCTCTATTATCTCTGGAACTCTATCCTTTGGGAACTCCGACCACAGATAGAGTAGTTTTGGCAGGAGATATCTCGGGAATTCTCGCAAGTCTTTTTCGTACTCCTCGCCAGAGTTGATGAACACTGGAAACAAATTTGGCATTTAACACTACTTACTTCTACATATATGTTGACAAGAAACAATTATGAAAAGCGCAAAAGGCAGTTCCGTCAGTGACGTGTATCAATGATGATCAGTGACTAGAATAAAATTAAGAGAGCTCAAATCACAAAACTGAGAACTAAATATTTATTTCCAAATAATTACTTAATTTTTATTTGATCCATAGACAAATTAATTAAATAAAAGAATAAAACTGCTAGAGTATTAAGAAACCGCAAATAACATTTCAAACTTTTGGAACGTATCAACTTTAGTCCACCCTGTTACTTGTGGCTGAGCGCTGGAGGGATTTTAGAAGTAAATTTCTCAAAAACCTACGGGTGTGATATTGCCAAAACTTTGAAAATTCAAATACCAGAGCACCAAAATGCTGATTCAATCAATAAAACTTTGAAAAACTGACTATAATTAATGGAAAAGCAGACTGACAGCAACTGTATTGCCCACTTAATTACATGTGATTTTGAACGATCCGGAGAGGCGCATAGTCCATTTTCGACAATGCGCGAAAACATCCGTTTTTATTCTATACTGTACCGTACTTTTAACCAGTTGCTGGAAATGACATGTATCCAATTTCTATTTATATAGAGTACTTATATAGGGAGAGTATGGACAACTCGAAATATGTAGCTGTTAGGGCCCAAAAGGGTAGGTAACCTTTGAAAACGAAAAATGTCACTGTCAATCTTTAGACTCCAATATCAAACGGAAATGGAAAAGAGAATTCATAAGTAAGCATTCTTTCGCAAAAATGAGTAAGTTTATGCAAAAACCAAGTCAAATGCGTGCTTTACCAACGACAGTTCCCAACAATTGTGATTATAAATCACTCTGGATAATTTGAATTCATAGATTGCCTACCCTTTTGGGATTGAGCCAAAACTTCTATGTCTGTGACAGAATGTCATTCCCCACATTGTGCTTTAGTTGTACGTGCCACTTACTCGGGGCAAATAAACCTCCTTCGGCAGAGGTTACCCCCAACATGAGGGGAATCTCTGACTCCAAGGTTCTCGGGTCCGCCGGAAGAAAAGCATTTTCACACTCAGGCTCATAGGTTGGCACCCAAACAATAGCAGGCGTGAAGATCCACTCCTGCAAAAATTAGAAATCACACAATTTCATAAAGAAATCCTTGGAGGAAACATACCGTGTTACCATTACAAAGATCAATGTCTAGTGCGACAAGGAGGTCTTGTGGGTCAATAGATCACTAAACCATTAACGAATTTTCACTTCCGAATCAAAGGCTAAGTCATTCGGGTAAGTCCAGGGCCGGATCAAGGGGGTAGCCACATGGGTCGCGGCCCATGGCGGCAAATCTAAGAGGCGGCAAAAATTTGCAATTTTTTAAAGTGTAGGTGTAGGTATAAAAAAATCGGATTTATAAAAACAAAATTACAAACGAGAAAAGACGACAAAATCTCTTATTTCCTGAGAGTATAGTAATTTCTAATTTTGTCGTCTCTTAGTAATACAAGTGACAGCACCTTCAATAAGTCGAGTTAAGAGAGGGACTAAACACGCAATTTGATCTGGAACGGCGACGCGACTTAGAGAGAAATGATAAAAAGGACTTGAGATGAAAAGGAGAAGCCCTCGGCGCGGGGATCGGCATGTAACACATATTAGCACTTACAAGACTGCACGAATACTTCACGCATTGCATCAAACACAGTGCGGTCATTGCGGTCAGCGTGAAACGGATAGCGCCTACAAGAATGCATGAATACTTCACGCATTGCGCCAAACACAGTACGGTCAGCGTGAAACGGATAGCGCCTACAAGACTGCGTGAACACTTCACGCATTGCGTCTAAAACGGTGCGGTCTGCGCGGCGCGGCGGCGAAAGTTAAATTATGTTTCTTCTTTCATAATTTGTTCGTTCATTTCTCATGAATGGAAGGCCTTGTCTACACACAGATAGGTTTTCGGAACTTAACTTTCGCGCAAAGTTCCGTGTTCTTTTGCTAGTAGTGTTGGCAGGGCTTTCCCAAAAAATGTGCTCAACACGAGTAAATGTGTCTTATGCACACCTCCCCCGCTGACACGTTCATTTGATGGTTTTTATCGAGTTTTAAAACGAATGAGAAGGGGGCGGCAAAATAAAGGCGGCCCATGGGCGGCAAGTGGGTGAATCCGGCCCCGGGTAAGTCAGATAAGATAACATATTTTCGGCGGTTCAACTCTTACCCCGATCAGAGGTCCATTTTAACGCGTATTCACTGAAATAATGTCTCCTTACTTGGAACCTCCTGCCCATTTCCATCATCTGTTGAGTTGGGACAGCCTGCATACATTCTACTAACGCCCCCGTGGGAGTGGAAGGACAACCCAACAACACAGCTAACGCTATCGTCCTTTCTTTCGCCAACTGAGGACTCATGAATGTCCAAGGACAATCTGCGGTCCCACTCATCACTATGCCCCGCTGAATGAGACCTGGACAAATTAAGGACATTAATTAGTGAAATAATAACTTCATCCGGGAAAGGCTGCTACTAAATGGAGCTGTTGCATGTGTGAGGAATTTGCGATTTGACTGTTGATTCTTTTGTAAAAGTTCGCGAGAAACACGATGGTGCCACTGGTTTTCTCTGAAATCAACGCCCAAGCTCGAAAAAAGCTCTCAAGTTGCGGCCAAAATAGAGGGGATATCCCACGCTATCCTGAGAGTCCACCTCTACATAAAGGCCAACTGACCAACTGTCCATGCAAAGATAGGGAGAAAATACATTGACAGGGCTGCCACTTTATTTGGGGACTCCAAAACCGAAAATACGACAACCCTGCTAATGTACTTGCTCCCTATTTTTGCATGGAGAATTTGTTTTGATGTAGAGGTGGACTCTCAGGCATAGAGTACATAGAGTCGTAATGTAATTGGGAGAGCTGGCGCCACTTTTAAGCATTTTCCATGTCCCGAATTCCAAGACTCCTGTCTGACGCCGGGTCACTTTTTCGATACATAATCGATTGTTTGCGATACACGGGTACCCGGCCATCCGATGACAACAACAACAACAACAACAACAACGGAGATAGGAATTACCACGTATTCCACACCGCCATTTTGGATCGAAAATGTATCGAAAAAGCGACCCGAACTCGGCGCACACTGGGCTCGGAATTCGTCGAGCAGAACATGGCGCCAGCTCTCCCATTTACATTACGACTCTATGTACTCTATGCTCTCAGGGTAGGGTGGGATATCCCCTCCATTTTGGCCTCAACTTGAGAGCTTTTCTTGAGCTTGGGAGTTAATTTCAGAGAAAACCAGTGACATCATCTTTTTTTTGCGAACTCTTACCTAAGAATCAACAGTCAAATCGCAAATTCCTCGCACATGCAACATCTCCATTGAAAAGATCAAGAAAAACTGCAGGGATGTTCCAAAACACTGAATTATAAGGTATCGCCACACCATCTCAACTATACTTCTATCGGATTTTGGCGCCAGCCACAAGAGTAGTTGTACTAGCTAGAAGTGTAGACACCAGCCAGCGGTATAGTTAATCCAACCACACCTATGCTGACTGTGAGGGCACCAACTAGAGGTATATGGTAGATCCAACTACACTTTCAGCTGACTTAACCACATCTCTGGTTTGTGCAACTACTCTAATATCTGGCGATACAGTCAGCCAGGAGTATAGTTGGGATTGTGATACTTTTTTTCCGTGAATACGCAAGAGCCTCATTTTCGACCAGCCGTTTGCATCAGTCTTTCCTCGAAGCAAGTTGTTATTTGGACGTGCTTCTGGTGAAGGGAACTATAGATGAGAGGGAAAATGGAGTGTGCTCTGGAGAGCTGGATAGGAAACAATGTAAAAGTGGGCGTGATTCCCTTTGCGGAAATGGGAAAGCGGGATTTTACATTCTACCAAAGTAAGTGCCAATTGGACGTATTTCTACCAAACAGACCTATGTGGAGGTGAGAAATATGGGGTGTGCTCGTGGAAGCTGCATAAGAAGCAATGTAAAAGTGGGCGTGGTTCCTTTTGAAGAATGGACCACTAGACAAGGTGCAAATTTAAGCATTCTGATACATGTTTCTTAACCAGAATTTCACGTAGAACACGATTCGGGCAACGAAAATTACTGAAACCAATTCCTAACGGAGATATTAACATTTTTATTTCACATTGGTTACAAAGAATTTGAACTGCCCGCTCACAAGAAACTCAAAGCTCTACGTGAGACAAAGCGCGCACTATAACGGTTTCAGCAAGCTTCTCAATCGAGCAATGTTCATTTCCCACCATGTGTTGTTGAAACAATAAGCAATTTGCTATAGCTGAGCCAAAGCGTCAAGATTGAGGTTGCCAGATTTATACATCGCAGAGACCGTCATGATAACGTTTAGCGCGCGATGTGATACACGTAGAGCATTGAGTTTTCATGAGCGGGTGGTTTGAATTCACGCACCAAGAATCATTAAATATTTTCGGAAGGAGTTGATTTCGGTAATTTTCGTTGGGCGCATCGTGTTTTAGGTGAAATTTTGGTGAAGAAACGTATATCAGAATGCTGAAATTCGTACCTTGTCTAGTGGTCCATTGGGAAAGCGGGATATTACATTCTATCAAACAGACCTATGTGCCATCTGAATGCGGAACTCATGAGCCGCGGGCATGGAAAGAGAGCCTTGTGGACAGGGCTCATGAGTAAAGAACACCATGGAGGACGTAACCGCCGGACGGTTTCGTTGCAGCTGACGTCACTGGCGCTTTTTTATTCTCATTTACTCTTACGGCCAGACAACTAACGAGCACACCCCATATTTCTCACCTCCACATAGGTCTGTTTGGTAGAAATACGTCAAATTAAATGCGGCACTCATGAGCCTTGGACATGGGAAAAGAGCGTTGCGGACAAGGCTCATGAGTTGAAGTGCCCCGACCGTCGTTTGTGGTCGCGGCCGTCGCCGCTGACGACACTGGCGTTTTACAATTCCCATTCATTCTCACAGCCCTCGATTAACGAGCAAGCCCCCTCATTCCTACCTGTCTCTGATTCCATTTACCAGAAATACGCCCATTTTACTTTAAGTTCTTGGTTGATCAAGTTATTCTCCGTTCTATACGGCTGGGACTTAACTATTTGAGAGCATCATTTCTAGCTAGTGTCTTTAAGTTTAATATAAGAGAGTATATTTTCCATATAGAAATTGTTTTCAAAAACTTTGAATTTTATGGTTAAAAAAGGCCGGAGGAGTACCTGTCCTTAAAATCCTAATTAAACTCGTAGTTTAAAAAAAAAAAAAAAAAACATTGCTCATCTACGGGGTGGTAATGATCGGATATGCTAAAATATGGACATATCCCGTCCATGCCTTCATCTTTACGCATAATCGGATTTCGGTGTTTAACCGCACCTTTGCTCATTGGTGATAAAAGATGGAAATGAACGCTTGCGCCTCCAGAGCTCTCCCCAAACACCGTGATGAGTTCAGGATTTCCGCCGAAATTCTCAATATTATCGTGAACCCACTTGATAGCGAGAACTTGATCCTTCAAACCAAGATTTGCAGGAATGGCTCTGTCACCTGTGCTGAGATAGCCTGTCAATGCAGAAAATAAAAAACATGAAAGACCAATGATACTATTTATGGCTCATACAAAAACTGTCTTATGGTCGGGAGTTAATAGCACCAGGGCCGGATATAGGGGGTGGCCACATGGGCCGCGGCCCATGGCGGCAAATTTTGCAATTTTTTTAAATGTAGGAATAAAAAAAATCGGATTTAGAAAAAAAATACTAACGAGAAAAAGGCGACGAAATATCTAATTTCCTGAGAGAATAGCAATTTCCAATTTTGTCGTCTTTCAGTCTAATACAGGACAGCACCTTTCATTAGTCGAGTTTAGAGAGAAACCAAACATGCAATTTGGCCTGGAACGGCGCGACTTAGAGAGGAATGATGACGAGGACTTGAGATGAAAAGGAGAAGCCCTCGGCGCGGCGCACAGTGGATCGAGTCAATAGGAGAGGTCGGACATAATTTGGAAACTTTAAAAGCTTATAACTCCGTTTATACTAAAATTTGAGGTTTTAAAAGTAGTTCCAATGGTTTGCTCGTGAAATTTTCTTTTCGAAGCACCCCTAAACATTTAAAATATGACGAAAAAAACGTCAAAATTTGCAGTTTTAGTCAAAAGTTTCATGTCCGACCTCTCCAATTGACTCGATCCACTGTGCGGCGGTCGACATGTAACACATATTACCGCCTACAAGACTACATGAATACTTCACGCATTGCGTCAAACACAGTGCGTTCAGTGTTCAGCAGCGCGCGGTCGGCGTGAAACGCACAGCCCCTACAAGACTGTAGGAATACTACACGCATTGCGCTAAACAGAGCGATCTGTGCGGCGCGGCGGCATGCAGAGGTTAAAGTCATTAAACCACATTAATGTTTGTTCTTTCATAATCGTTGAAAAATTGAAAAGCGTTCTAAAGAGTATTATAAAGTGTTTTTCTCAGAAACCTGAAAAATGATGTTTTCCCCGAACCAGTTTGTTTACTGAGCTGGGTTGAGCAATTCTAAGAATCCACCTTGGACCGTTTTTCCGACTCCATCACGCATAATTTTGTACAGATTTCTTTTGAACAAATAATATTAAATAAATTAATAAATAACTCACACGAGAAATTAGGCGCCGTGAAATGTAGCTCGTCTAAGTCTGGTTGAATTCGTCAAAATCTTTACTCACAAAAAAACTCTCGGTCTAGGTATTTTAAAATACCCATCAGTGCAGACAAGTAAAATAGTATCTAAAATCGGAGCTAGGGAAAGGAAGCATACCTAAAACTCCCAACCTGTAATTGATGGTTACCAACACGACATCTTTATCGAGCAATAACTCCGGGCCATACAGGGCGCTTCCCCCCATGTAGTACTGCCCGCCATGAATGAAAATTATCACCGGAAGTTTCGCTGACTTGTGCACCTAAGAGAGAAAAAATTATTACGTGTCGATGGTGACAATAATTCCTTGACCCCCCCCCCCCCCCCCCCCCCNGGCGGCTCTTGAAAGTTGGCAACACTGTCTTTCCTCCATTTAAATGTGTATAAAACAATCGATTCTTAGTGAGGCGGCTTGACTCATCTAAAATCGATATTTTTATTAGATTTGAATAGAGGAAAAACAGTGCTGCCAGCTTTCAAGAGTCGACCCTGCCCACAATTATTTATTTTGATTGGGATTTTAAAATTCCTGCGCCTGCTTTATTCTCAAATGAGCAGTGGTATATATATTTTTTCATGGCATTATCTGTAGAATACTATTAAACGGTAAAAAATGCACCATACAATTAAAAAATTAAAAACCGCCATTAAAATCAAAAGTGACGAGAAGCCTTTGAGCCCAATGAATAAGATATTTGAATCCCACTAATCGATGTAGCATCCATCACAGAACTACTTCGATACTTCATTTTGTAGCAAATTATTTTTTCCGTTTTCCCATGTGAATAAATTTTCTTTGCGTGCACACATACACACAGGAAAAAACCTTCGGTTAATTTGGCACGCCGTACTTTTCAAATATACACCGGAAAAAAAACACATTGGATCCAGAGTCCAGACTCTTAAAAACAACGACAAGAAAAAATACTCTTGATTCAATCAGATTTAAGCTTAAATCAAGAACCAAACCTCTTAATTTGAGCAGATTTCCTTTTGATTTAAGCTTAAATCTGCTTGAATCAAGAGTCCTTTTTCTTGCCAATGTTTTCAAGGGTCTGGACTCTAGATCCAATGTGTTTTTTTTTTCCAGTGTAGATGGCAAAAATTTCCTGCTAAGTGCAAGCTCACAAGTGAATTCAAATCAGCAGAAATTACAGCTCCTTCGGGGTAATTATTGAAATTAATAGACAAATCAATCGATGAAGAAGACATAGGAAGTGGAGCAATCCTATTGGTTGAAATGGGTGATTCCCATAGACTTCCGGAGAGGATAATGGACTAACCATAGGGTTTCTCGTGGGTTGCCGTTGGTTAGTCTATTATACCTTCCTCCTTTGTCCATTGCAACCACCGTTTTCCACCAATAGGCTCCCTCCATATCCCTTCCGACCTCTTTGTCTATAGCTTTGTCTATCAATATCACTAATCGGCCCGCTACTGCGAACAGGATAAATCAAAAGAATCCGGGCCAGGGGATTCGTTTTTATTGTAAAACGGATCCTACCTGCCCAACCTTGTCACAATCATATTAGATCGCGAGAAAGTGCCTATTTCCTCGCCGAAAAGTCATTAAAGTTGCTATAAGAGATTTGTTACTTAAAAACTTGCCTTCGGCGAGTACACGTTGAGAACAAGACAATCTTCCTGACCCATAACTTGAGGATGAGGGTTTTTGGGATTCGCAATTTGAGGGCAGAAAGGTGCGCTTCTAGTTGCATTGATAGGCTCACTCCAGGGATCCAGTGGTTTGGCTTCCTAGAAGTATAGACATTTTCTTTGTCGATAAAGAAATATTATATCGATGGCCAAGGTGCGAAACCACGTATCTCCGTTTGCGACGTTGCAGACTTCTTGTCATTCTTTACCTTTTTTCGGAAAACTAGTCAATATAAGTTCTCGAAAGCTCCCATGATTTTTCTTCTCTGTTATAACAGAATACTCGTATTCTGTACTGATCCTCACTTGCAAAGTTTCCTTGTAATGCTTTACTTGAAAAAATGAGATCCGAGCCAAAATGTTGAAACATCGCGATTGAGATACGTGGTTTTGCAATTTGGCCATCTATATGCGGTAGTATAGACTGGCTTTGCCCCCCTCACTGGCATAATGCCTGGCTCAAAGTTTTTCATGGGATGGAGGGACAGAGTATGGGCAATTGGGCATAAAGTTAAAACTTTCCTGAAAATTGCCTTCTCTTGAAAACATTTTGGACTAGGAATCAATTGACTTCAATTCTGATCTTCGAATACATTTCATTTCTTATTTTTCTTATATTCAATAGGCACCACATACATTCTTCTACTATATGGATAAAAGATAATAATATAATGAAAATACACGGCATTTTCTGATGTAATAGTATACTTTTTTAGACATTCGTTTGTTTTATTTCACCAAAAAAATTCAAGAGTAAGCTGCAGCTTGCATTATCTATTTTTTCGAATGCGTGAATGCAGGGGTCAGTTCGCACAAATTGAAATCCTAAAATGTGTGTTACCACACTAAAAAACTGTAATATGCATAGCTGAAATATTAAAATGATCATTTTTGTACGTTGCAAAGTTTAAATTCGATTAGATTCTATTATTTAAAAATACAAACAAACATACTGTCGCTTAGAATATTGTTTGAATATTTTTGAATGGGTTGGGAAAATTCAAGAATATCAAGGAAAACTGTTGATTAGTTTAGCATGGAAAAAATAAATATGAGCGGAAGCAGTGGAGAGGTGTGAATGATCGACAATCGATATTTCCTCATTTGAAGCAGTGGTAGAGAATCGATTATTAAGGTGTTCGTTGCGAACACACTGTTTATCGATCCTTTTCCATAGGTTTAAATGGCAGATGAATCGATTTCCCGCAAAGCACGCCACGCCACTGAGCGGAAGCTTGTAATGTCGCCCTCAAAATACATTTTTTACTTTCGGCTTTCGATGCGCATTTCCAAAGCGATGCAGTACGGCTAGGTGGCCCGTTTACAACTTACTTTGAATCTGAGATATCCAACAGGTGGTTCAGCATATGGAATGCCAGTGAAGCTAAAGATCTCGCGTCCATCTCTAGTTCTCAGCGTGTCAAATCCGATGATCCGCCCTTGAGGTGTTGAAACTTCTATGTCTCGACAAGAACAAATTCCACTCGAAAGAATGAGTAACAATAATTTTAACCATAGCAAAATCTCCATCATTTTTGTGTTTACTTGGGTGATAGCTTGACCGCTCGCGACCTAAATACAACGTTGACAATGAGTACATTTCCATTTGCCAAAAAATGAATCTAGTGAAGCTGACATGAGGAGCGTAGAGGACAAGACGCATAAGTACAATTTTTGAAAAAATTGTGATATTAATGATTTCAAGTAAAGTTAGTCGGAATGCACATTCTGAGAAAAATTCGCTCTCAAATTCCAATTTTTAAGCATGGAAAAGTCAGCTTGAACTTCCTTTCTGCCAATTAAAATCCATGCAATTTCGAAACTTCAAACACGTATTTTTCGAAATAGCAAAAACTGCACTTATGCGCCTTGTCCACCAAGCCCCTTAAATGAACTTAGCAAGCAATCATTGTTTGAATTCACGATTATTTTAAATTTTTCTTAAATAGTTTTCATTGAATGTTTATAAAACGTATGAGTTCAAAATTTTGGGCAAAAGTCCTTATATTGTCCCAACTTGTTTCATTCATGACCTTAATCCACCCGATTCATTTTCAATTGAAATTTGCCCGGTTTTGTAGTTTGCATCGATCAAAATCGGTTCGAAATGTGGATGATAAAATTACTATCACTTAAATGAAAACTCATAACTACAAAACATGGACAAATTGAAAGAATACCACTTTAAAAAATGAGAGATTTGAATGTAAAAAACGATTATGGAAAAAATGCCAAAAAAGGCAACATGCAAAACACACGTCAGATATAGTATTTTAGTGAAATAGATCTTGATATCTTCTGCGGAAAAAATTAAAAGAATTTATAGGTACTTTACTAACCGAGGCCACTGCCGAGGCAAAAATAAAATTAACTGGATAACTGGATTCAATGCAATTTAACAAAAAATTTTTTTTACTAAAACACTTGTATAAAGAACATTCACTCTGACATAATAGTTTAAGTTTATCGCCTTCAGTGCCGACGGAGTCTTTAAAATTATCTTGGATGAGAGCTGTAGATTGTACGTTGTCACCCAGTCGTCGGAATCCGTCATCCTCAAAATTTTCCCTCGCAGTATTTTCCCACTCGTCTTCTCCTTTAACTCAACGGTTTCTTACAAATCACTGCGACCCCTGGCAATGGCGTGGCGTGAATTGCGATATATCGATTGATATGCCATTTAAACCTATGAAAAAAGATCGAATATCAGGGTGTTCGCAGCGAACACCTTAGTAATCGATTCTTTACCATAGATTTAAATGGCGAGATATCGATAATCGATTATTCACGCCACGCCACTGACCCCTGGTGAGCACCTGTTGTTATGTTGTATTAGTGTCACTTTTGTCTAGTGGCCTATCGACATAAATGAATAGAATATAGAGAATTAGGCGAATTGCAGTGAAAAAAAATTCTCGGCGTTTTTACCAAGTTCCGCTGGTACCTTTACCATCTCACTTTTTTTACCAATTATTGGTAATTTTACCACGACAGACTGGTAAGCTTACCTAAAAACCGGTATTTTTACTGTTTTTTCAGGTAAGAGTACCACTTTTATTGGTAATCAATTCCCGGTGACTTTGCCATTTTATCTCGGAAATTCTACCACTGTCGATAAAAAAATGTTGGCGTTTTTACCGGGGTCCAGTAAAATTATCGAGAAAGTCAATAATTACCAATTTCGCGGTAAATGCTAATTTTACCAAGAAAAAACTGGGATCAAATGGACTACATTTTGCAATTTGGAACTATAAATTCTAGTCCGGTTTAAAAATAACGTATGTGCCATTAGTTACCCTATGCACATAAGTGTTTTTCCAATAGTCAGAATTTATAGTTCCAAATTGCAAAATGCAGTCCAAATAGAACCCTGAATTCTTGGTAATTTTACCCTTTTCTCAGTAAATACACCGAGATTTTTTTTCAGTGTGCTCTGTCGCCTTCAATTTTCGGGGTAGGCTAGAAACATTTCGATGGTGGAACCTCAGAAATTATGCGTATCTCTGTTTGCGGCGAAGCAAACCTCTTGTTATGGTTTAGTCTTGACATCGAAAACTATTAGACGCCATTTTTTTGAAAATTCCAGCGATTTTTCTTCTCTACGTGAAAAATATTCTGTGAAAATTTTTAAGCATGAGTCATGTTCGATCTCATTTTAAAAGATAAAAACGAGGAGCAATTTTGAAACACCGCAACCGAGATATGCATTTTTGCGATTTCATTTCTATCAAACGGAACTATGACGTGAGCCCTGGTATGCATTTATTCTAATGGGTCTCAGGGCTCATGTCTTAATGCACATAGCTTTATTTGGCAGAATTACGTCCAATCGAGCATTTGTGCCTTTCGTTGCATAAAACTTTATCCCGCGGCAAATAATGGCAAACCCCATAGCGCTATTGAGCTGAAAATATGTCATTGATCTGGGCTTAATCTATAGTAAAAGTACATTCAAAAAAATTAAACAAATAGTCAAATTTCTGAGATAATAAAAAAGATCATTCCAGATCTGATAATATAGTTGATTTTTAAAGATCGGGATCCTTCATATAATGATTCTCGAATAACGTCCCGTCATCATTAAAACATATTGTATGAATTTTAGGTCAAATTTTACGGTTTTATAAATCAGTATATTCCTAATATTCTCGATAGGAAGAACATTATTATTCACCTAGGAAAATAAATGGAAAAGGGTAGGAAACAGGCATTAGATAGACTTTTAAGGTAATTTTAATCATTCTAAATGACATTCATACCAAAGTATGATAAATTTCCAGGACTTCGATCAATTTTACTCAGAAGGCATATCTGATCAAAAATCAGGTAGAAATCGTAGTATTATGTGAAAATATTGCTGGGTCTATGTCTGCACTATTCAAGAGGAAAACAAGCCGAGAAAAACAAAGAATCAGAATTTGAGATTAAAAATTAAGTGAACTACGATAAGATTTACTGCAAAACTAAAGAGGAAGTATGCGCAACTCTAACAGGTGCATTCTGAATTTTCCACTGAGGTTCCTGAAGGAGACCAACACCAGTTTCGCTCTGAGTGAAGTACACGCATCATTAACCAGCGTCATGTAAATAATAGCTAAAACGAGCTTAATTTTTAAAGGTTTGAGACAATTCAAAATAAAGTATTTAGACAAGTGAGCATATAAAATTGTATTCGATCCTCTAATGAAGAAGTTTAAGCTATGATTAGTTGAATTTGAGATAGCAAAACTTAACAGCGAGAAATTTCTAAGAGAAAACAAATGACGATATTTTTTTGTGATTTTTGGAAATATGTATTTTCGAATGAATGAAGAAAATGTACATACAATTATGGAAGTAAGTCTCTTAAATCTGAGATATCTTGGGAAGACTCTTCTTTAAAAATGAAACGTGAGCTGAGATTTACAACGCGATCACAACCTCAAATTATACGGAGGTTCATGTACTGAATAGCGACTCTCAATAGATTAATCAGCATTCCTCAGTCTTAATCATCTATTTGTTTTTTTTTTTGTTTTTTTGTTTTTTTTTTTTTTTTAAATTAGGTGCGTAACATGAAAAATAATAAAGACAGGATGATGGACAAATTTTCACATACAGTTTACAAACTGCAATGAAGCAAGGTGCTATGGCAAGCGGAATCCGAAGCAAACCTTCAACGCCTTGATGCAACTATTCGTGTTTAACGGATGTCTAGGTTGCATATACAAATCATTGAAGGCGGTCCGAATTTCTAGTCCAAGAGGGAAGGCTGCCTCTGCGAGTCGCCAACGAGATAATGTGCGCGGACAAATAAAAGGAATACTACACCATAAGGTGTCTAGACCCTAAGAATAAAACCAAAGGACTCATAGTTTCCCGGTGCGATCGACGATACGCATTTATCGACTTCAGTCATTGATACTTGAAACTCAAATCGATTCAATGGACCACTAGACAAGGTACAAATTTCAGCATTCTGATACATGTTTCGTAACTAAAATTTCACGTCGAACACGATGCGCACGATCAAAATTGCCGGAATCAACTCCTTACGAAGATATTTAATGATTCCTGATGCGTGAATTCCAACCACCCGCTCATGAAAACTCAATGCTCTACGTGATTCACATCGCGCACTAAATGTTATAATGACAGTCTCTGCGATATAAAAATCTGGCAACCTCAATCTTAACGCTTTGGCTCAGCTATAGAAAATTGCTAAAAGTTTGAACAACACATGGTGGGAAATGAACATTGCTCGATTGAGAAGCTTGCTGAAACCGTTGTAGTGCGCGATTTGACTCACGTAGAGCTTTGAGTTTCCTGTGAGCGGGCAGTTCAAGTTCCTCGTAACCAATGTGAAATAAAAACGTTAATATCTTCGTTAGGAGTTGGTTTCAGTAATTTTCGTTGCGCGAATCGTGTTCGGCGTGAAATTCTGGTTAAGAAACATGTATCAGATTGCTTAAAATCTTACTTTGTCTGGTGGTCCATTCGAGGTTTCATGCGACTCCATCCCAAATACACAAAAACTTAAAACAAATTTAAGAAACAGGCAATGGCTCACCGTTCCACCCGGCTAAGCATTCCAAGAGCGGATCAATTATATCCCCCGAGCGTAACGAGCTAAAAACCTTTTCAATATCCTCCCCTGGAGCAACATCATCCTCAGCGATTAAAAACCTCGTCCCCAAAACCTCCCTCGCGAATTTATACAACGGGAAGGATCTACACTTTACTATCCTATTAGGAATCTTGGCCTGTTTCTTTTTAAAACTCACCCAGGTATTTTCCACCTCCCTCGACAAAACTACCCTGAGCTCCTCCTCGAAAGCTCTGAATTTCCCGAAAATTGAAGTCCCGCTACTTTCCCCATTATCACATTTCAAAGCGTGATCCATGAATGACTGTCGCAATCTCTGCATCAAGGGGTAGTTCGGGTTGCAGGGTGCGTCGATGAATGTGTAAACGCACTCACGATCGACCTGACTTAGGAGATCGTCTACGCACGCTTTTGCCTCGTCGTTTAAGACTTTATCGGCCACCAGGCTGATTGTATTCCTCACGGTGTCTTTGAAATTGTCCTCCAAGTGCCGCAGGTCGATGGCCTGGCACAGGGCGATGATGAACGTCGAGGACATGAGTTTCAGGATTTCGACAGCTTCGTCGGTTTTTCTTGCCGAGATGAGCCCCAGGGAATTGACGTCTTGATTGTGCTGCTCGGCGCTCTGGACGTGGGTCGTGACGGGGTTGCCCAGGAACTGGAGCTCGGAGCAGTAGGCGGCCATCGCGATCTCCGCTCCTTTGAGACCGTAGTCTAGTGAAAAATAAAGAAAAGAGAAAAACGAAGATGTTGCATGTGTGAGGAATTTGCGATTTGACAATAATTGATTCTTAAGTAAAAGTTCGCGAGAAACACGATGGTGCCACTGGTTTTCTCTGAAATTGCCTCCCAAGCTCGAAAAAAGCTCTCAAGTTGAGGCCAAAATGGAGGGGATATCCTACGCTATGCTGAGAGTCCAGCTCGACATCAAGACATACTCTCCATGCAAAGATATGGAGCAAATACATTAGCAGGGTTGTCGTATTTTCGGTTTTGGAGTCCCCAAATAAAGTGGCAGCCCTGTCAATGTATTTGCTTCCTCTCTTTGCATGGAGAGTTGGTCTTGATGTAGAGGTGGGCTCTCAGGATAGCGTGGGATATCCCCTCCATTTTGGCCTCAACTTGAGAGCTTTTTTTGAGCTCGAGAGTTGATTTCAGAGAAAACCAGGGGCACCATCGTGTTTCTCGCGAACTTTTACATACGAATCAACAGTCAAATTGCAAATTCCTCACACATGCAACATCTCCATTGAAGTGTTAAGTTGGGATCAGTAGCGAGACGTGAATGATCAATAATTGCCCATTTAGAGCTGTGGTGAAGAATTGATTATGAGGTGTTCGTTGCGAACACCCTGCTTATCGATCCTTTCCCATTGGTTTAGATGAAAGATCAATCGATTTGTCGGGACGCACACTACGCCACTGATTGAAATTGTAATAGATATTTGGGTCAGTGAAACGTATATTGACGATGTAAGTCGGCAATCACATAACTCGGTTTGCGACGTCGCAGACTTCCTGTCATACTTTATTTTTTAAACGGAAAACTACACAACAACTGCCTTGAATTTTCTTCTTTGTGCGAAGATAATTCCACACAAACTTCAAGGAATGATGCCAATTGGTTATCCCTTAAAAAATAACAAAGAGGCGGAGATTTTCAGACACCGCAAACGAGATCGGTGATTGCGGACTTATGCCGTCGATATGTCTTACCGGCTGCGATAGGATTGCGCGAATGCCCCCTTTTTACCCTCTTGGAAATGCATAGGATTGCGCGAATTTTTATGGTACTGAAAACTCACGCGTTTCTGCAAATATTTAACATTCAACGAGGAGGCGTTATTTTGCAAACCTTGGTACTTTATGGTAGGTAACTACATCGAGGAAGACTGTTCATTCCCTACTCACTTACGAGCATGTCTCTCTTCGACGGAATGCCCTCGCAAAATGAATGGCCGAGAAAATTTAAAAAGCACAGTAGGGGCCTGTCAATCACCGGAAAGAACTACACGTAAAAAATCGTAGAAAGATCATGCTCAAGTTTTTTAAGAGATGAATGTATTCAAAACCCGGCGGGTACACCCAAGAGAAAGCGTATATTCATCGCGGATTGCAACGTTATGCACCATTTTTTATGTTTTATTTTTAATAAATGTTTTTAAAAAGCTATACACATACAGTTTTTCTGAAAAATTTCCGCGAATTTACCTAAATGATCTCAAATAAAAATATCAAAAATTTCGACGCGATATTTTCGTTCATTCTATTTTCTTTTAGCGTAAACCAAAAAAATTAAATATCATCCGAGCTTCTGAATCGTCTCAATTAGGATACATATTTTCCCTTTAATTATGGTAAAAGTTGGAGCAGAAAGTCAAGAATGATGACACGCAGTCCTCCAGTATTTCTACAGTCTAGTTAAGTAGGCGCTAATATGCGTTTCACGCAAACTGACCGACTGTACCGCGTTTGACGAGATGTAAGAAGTATTCACGCAGTCTTGTAGGCGTTAATATGGGCTCCACTTCGACCGCACGGTTTGGCGCAATGCGTGAAGTATTCCTTCAGTCTCGCAGGCGCTACTACACGCTAAACACCGGCCACACTATGTTTGGTGCGATTATTCGAACTCGCGTTAGAATAATCGCGGCATCGAATAATAGAGCTTAAAAGGGCCTATGTTATGCCGACGCCGAATGTGCATTTCAACGTTGCCTCGTTTCTTTCGATTAAATATTTTTTCCGAGAAAAGTTAGGATAGTCCGTTATACCCAAGACCATTATTAAATCTTTTCACTTCATTTATCACCAGAAGGCAAGACACCGATGACTTGTCAACAAACTAACCTAAACTAGCGTTAACTTAAAAGTGTGTTTATTTTCCAATTGTTTCCTGTTTTACCAAACTTCTACCTTAAATTAACTTCATTTTAAATCCGTGATTTACTGTAGCATCTATGTTAAGGTTTCTATTCGCGCAATCCTTGAATATTTTCTTAGACCTTTCGCGTTATCCTGGACTACCGATCTTGCCTGCAGGCCCATCATTGAATCATCATTAATCATTGATAGAAAAAGCAATGGACATATCGTTGGCACAAGTATAAGGAGCCACGTATTTTTGTGTGCGACGTCGCAGACTTCCAATCATACTTTATTATATCTTGGGGAACTGGTCAACGGAATTTCTTGAAAACTTCCTTCATTTTTCCTCTATGCTGGCAGAACATTCTGTATAAATTTCTATCAAGAAAGGTGGCTTGTTTCTCTTCGAAAAAATAAAATTGGGACGGAAATTTTGAAATACCACAATGGAGATACGTGGTTTCGCAAATTGGAACCAAACCACATCAGCTATTGCCAAATTTAATTAGGCAATCTAATAATTCACAAGAAAACGTTTGTGCGGATTCTTTTGAAAATTTTAAGGAATTTGCATCGCGCTATGCAGAGAATTCACTGAAGTTGCACAAAAATCCGCACGACCGTTTTCATGTAAAACTTTAAATTGCCCAGTTGAATTTGGCAATAACTGATGTGGCTTGGTTCCTTTCTGCTTACCGTTGCCCAACCGCACTACGCCATTCAACCTACGTGATCTACATCCACCCGACCGGAGACGAGAGACCCTCCACTAATATCTTGGCCATGGTGGAAGCTTTTACTTTCGGGACTTCAGCATTCTACTGTTGACTGACCTAAATGGTTGATATTCAACAACGTGTTGGCAGTTTCGTTTTGCAAACAAGCCGAAAATGACCGAAGTTTGGGAAACTTTATTGGCTCATGACGTCACCCGAAGCTCATCATCCATTATGTAGGTAGGTCAGCAGCCAAAATCAGGGTGATGACTGTTGCTCCCTTATAACTGTCCATGGGGACCTGTTGAATCCGCGGAAGTAAAAGCTTCCACCTGTCGCCAAGAGGTCAGTGGAGGGTATCGTATCTCTGTACCCGACAAACCAGACACAAGAGACCCTCCACTGACCTCTTGGCGACAACTGGAAGCTTTTAATTTCGGGGTTTCAACAATTCCTTATGGACAATTACTAGGGAGCAACAGTCATCACCCTAGTTTCGGCTGTTGACTTACCTACATGGTCGATGATGAGCTTCGGATGACGTCACGAGACGAACAAGTTTCCTAAACGTCGGCCATTTTCGGCTTGTTTGCACAACGGAACTGCCAACACGATGTTGAACATCAACCATGTAGGTAAGTCAACAGTAGAGTGCTGAAGTCCCGAAAGTAAAAGCTTCCACAATGGCCAAGATACTGGTGGAGGGTCTCTTGTCTCTGCGACAAACAAACCATTTCCATAATTCGCTTAAAGCTGGAGCAGGTACCTAAGCTGGGGTTGACCCCGGAGCAGAGATTGGAGGGGAGGCCGTTGTTGTAATGGTTGTTGACGAGCTCGGAGAACTGTGCGAAGATGAGTTTCCCGATGGCAGCGATGGTGAGACGAGTGTTGTCCATGGACACGCCGACGGGTGTCCCCTGGAAGTTGCCGCCGTGCAAGGCCTTGTCCCGGACGAGGTCGATCAGCGGATTGTCGCTCGCGGAGTTGATCTCCCGCTCGATCATCTTTGTCGACGATCTCAGCACTTCGATCTGGGGACCCAGCCACTGCGGCGATGTCCGCAGAGCGTACCTGTCCTGCCTCTGCTTTTGGTCCGAATCCACGGCGTGCAGTTTCTCCGCGACGCGCATGTAGGAGCTACCTGAGAAATAAATACGAAATAAGATACGATAACTATGAGAAATCGTCCAGCGGGCCGATTATTGAAATTGATAGACAAAGCTATAGACAAAGGATACAAAAGAGATATGGAGAGATCTTATTGGTGCAAGCGGATGGTTGCAATGGACAAAGGAGGTAGGTCATAGACTTACTAACGGCAACCCACGAGAGACCCGACAGTTAGTCTATCATTTTCTCCCTTTGTCTATAGGAACCACCCATTTCAACCAATAGGATCGCTCCATACTCCCTGTGTCTTCTTTGTCTATAGCTTTGTCCATCACTTTCAATAATCAGTCCGCAGTGGCGATGCTTGAGAGTTGGCAGCACTATTTTTCCTCCATTTAAATGTATGTAAAACAATCGATGCTCGGTGAGGCAGCTTGCCTCGCCTAAAATCGATACTTTTAATGGATTTAAGTAGATGAAAAACAGTGTTGCCAATTTGCAAGATTACCACTGAAATCGTCCATACGTGCCGTCAGATTTTTTAAAGATTGTTTCACCCCAGCCCTCTTTCCTCCATTTCAGGTACCCCTTAAAAATTACATCAGGTTTAGGTCAAGCTCCCCGCCCGACCCCTGTTACTTATTAACAATCGTTAAGAGTTTTCTTAAAAATTACCCCCAGTAGTGAATTGATTTTGACTGATTTTAATCAATGGCCAAAGTGCGAAATCACGTATCACCGCTTACGTTGCAGACTTCGTATCATAATTAATTTTTTCTTTGGAAAAACAATCAACTTAACTCCTTGAAAACTTCCTTGATTTTTCTTCTCTGTCATGCAGCAGAATATTTAGTAGTTTCAAGCTACATAGTAGACTTGTTTTTCATCGAAAAAATGTCTTAGGAGCAGAAATTTTGAAACGCAGCAATGAAAATACGTGGTTCCACACTTTAGCCATCGACATAGTAGGTGAAACTGTAGAAACGCGTATCTCGGTAACTAGGACAAAATTCATTTAGCAAATAGGAACGACAATTCCTGGCCCATCCGTAATAATACTCATGCACGTGGGGAAATCAACGATACGTGCGTTTTAATACAAAGTGAGTAAGAAATGGAAATTCCTAACTGGACTGCACTTTGCAATAATGAACTACAATTTCTGGATGATGTGTAAAAACACCTATGCCAATGTGCACAGGGAAACTAATGACACATATCGACGGCGTAAGTCCGCAATCACAAATCTCGTTTGCGCTGTCTGAAAATCTCCGCCTCTATGTTCATTTTTTATAGGAGAACAAATTGACATCATTCGTTGAAGTTTTTCCAGAATTTTCTTCGCACAGAGAAGAAAAATCACGGTAGTTTTAAAGAATGGAGATGTTGCATGTGTGAGGAATTTGCGATTTGACTGTTGATTCCTACGTAAAAGTTCGCGAGAAACACGATGGTGACACTGGTTTTCTCTGAAATCAACTCCCAAGCTCAACAAAAGCTCTCAAGTTGAGGGCGTAATGGAGGGGATATCCCACGCTATCCTGAGAGTCCACCTCTACATCAAGACGAACACTCCATGCAAAGATAGGAAGCAAATACATTTGCAGGGATGCCCTGTTTTTAGTTTTAGAGTCCCCACATAAAGTGGCAGCCCTGTCAATTTATTTGCACCCTATCTTTGCATGGAGAGTTTGTTTTGATGTAGAGGTGGACTCTCAGGATAGCGTAGGATATCCCCTCGATTTTGGCCTCAACTTGAGAGCTTTTTTTGAGCTTGGGAGTTGATTTCAAAGAAAACCAGTGGCACCATCGTGTTTCTCGCAAACTTTTACATAGGAATCAATAGTCAAATCTCAAATTCCTCACACACGCAACATCAGATCTCCATTGCCGTTAACTGGTTTTCCGTTTAAAAAATAAAGTATGTCAGGAAGTCTGCAACGTCGCAAACCGAGTTATGCGATTGCCGACTTACACCGACATATGTTGTTTCGAAAACGAGCAAGAAATTGTAGTCCTAATTACAAAATGTAGTCCAATTAGTCCAACTACCATCCAGAATATGCTCCATGATGGCCGCGGCTTCGATTTGCCCGGGGTGATGCTTCAGTCTGTGCGTCAAATGATCAACGAACTCGGGCCTGCCGTGCATGACTTCCACGAAGACGGCCGATAGAACCTCAGCCAAGACAACCAGAACATTCGCTTCGAAGAGGACCAACGAAGCGAGCCCAGCCCCGACGGCCGTCCCGTTGACGAGAGCCAGGCCTTCCTTGGGTTCCAGCTCGAAGGGTCCATCGATCCCGGCCCGACGGAGGGCCTCAGGGGGTCGGAGGGTCTCCCCGTTCGGTCCGAGAGCCCTGGCGTTGGGCCTGCCGATGAGGAGTCCGGCGATGTACGACAGCGGCATCAGGTCGCCGGAGGCCGTGATGGATCCGCGTAATGGGATGAGAGGGATGATGTCCGCGTTGAGGAGCTTGGCGAGGGCCTCTGGGATCTCGAACCTGATGCCCGAGTGTCCTTGGATAAGGGTGTTGGTCCGGACGAGGATGGCTGCACGCGTGGCCTCTCGCGGGAGTGTGTGGGGTGACCCTGACCCCGCGGCCGCGCCGAGGACACCTGCGTTCATTTGCCTGCTCGATTTGGTTCAAAAACAAAAACGAATAAGGAGCTGTTCATAATGATTTATACAAACAATTGGACGTATTTCTATCAGACGGAACTAGGCGCCAATTTGAGTTCCTTTTGAGGAATTTAGAATCCCGGATAGCGCGTTCTGTCAAACGGACCTAAGCGCCATGGAAAAGCATTGCGAGTATAGGACGGAATAAGCCGGACGCCCGATTCCGCCGCCAAGCCCCCCTCTCCTCTACCTTCCTCACCCTATGGCGCTTAGGTCCGTTTGATAGAAATACGTCCAATTGATACCAAATCAGGATTCAATTCAGTCACGAAAGGGCCGGAATATATGGGATATATCGACGGTGTAAGTCGGCAATCACATAACTCGGTTTCCGACGTCGCAGACTCCCTGTCATACTTTATTTTTTAAACGGAAAACTACACAGCGACAATTCTTTAAAACTGCCATGATTTTTCTTCTCTGCGCGAAGGAAATTCTGCATAAACTTCAAGGAATGGTGTTAATTTGTTCTCCTTAAAAAAATAACTTAGAGACGGAGATTTTCAGACACCGCAAACGAGTCATTTGATTGCCGACTTATACACCGTCGATATGTGATGTAATGCGATTGTCTTTTACCCTCATTCCCATCGTCTTGAAATGGCCCGAAGTTGACCCTTGAGAGATTTTACACGGTAGCGGCTGCGAGAGTTTCGTACTGACAATGAGCTAGCATGACGACGAAAGCCACAACCAAGTACCTACAAGACTAGAACGGCGGGAAACTTCAAACTGGATGACGTACTTAGTCACCTCACCTGCAGCAGCGAGGAACTATTGCAAACTATTGCAACTATTGCAAGTGATCAACTTGCAATGTAATAGCAGACTCTGGTGTTCACACATATTATGGCAGCGTTCTTAAACTTGAGCAAGGAGGTGATAACTAGCTTTATCTGTCAACCTATAAAAATTATGATGCGATATTTTCGTTCGTTCTATTTTCTTTGAATGTAACAAAAAAAAATTAAATATCATCCGTGTTTCTGAATCGTTACAATGAGGTTAAATATTTCCCCTTTAATTATGGTAAAAACTGGAGCAGGAAGTCAAGAATGATGACACGCATAGTCCTACAATATGTCTTCAGTCGTGTAGGCGCTGATATGCGTTTCACGCGAACTAATCGACCGCGGTGCGTTCGGCGCAATGCGAGAAGTATTCACGCCGTCTTGCAGGCGCCAATATGGGCTGTACGCCGCGGCCGACCGCACGGTTTGGCGCAATGCGGGAAGTATTCCTTCAGTCTTATAGGCGCTAATATACGCTAAACACCGGCCGCACGGTGTTCGGCGCGATTATTCGAACTTGCATTAGAATAATCGCGGCAACGAATAATAGAGCTTAAAAGGCCTATGCTGTGTCGACGCTGTATGATCATTCCAAAGATGCCTCGTTTCTCCGGATTAAATATTTTTTTCCGAGAGAAGTTGGGAAAGTGCTTTATACCCACGACCATTATTCAATCATTTCACTTCATTTATCATCAGAAGGTAAGACATCGATAACTTGTCAACAAACTAAACTATAAACTAGCGTTAAGATGAAAATGCGTTTTCTTTCCAACTGTTTCCTGTTTTTCCAAACTTCTACCTTAAATTCGCGCATTCCTGTAGCAGATGTTAAGATTTCTATTCGCGCAATCCTTGTGTCTCTTTCGCGGAATCCTTGTGTCTCTTTCGCGCAATCCTTGTGTCTCTTTCGCGCAATCCTCAGATATTTTCTTAGACTTTCCGCGAAATCCTGGATTACTGAACGCTTTAGAGAAGGGGAAAGAAGAAGAAAGTTGAGGCGAACGTTACGCACGCGCTACGTTACGCATTACGGGCGTTTGTTTCTACGTCACAAAAGTACCAAGAAATGGGGGAATGGTCGGAAAAACCGAAATCATGCGTTAAGTATTTTATAAACGGCACCTGGGTGATGCATGTAGAATCAAAATGACACAGAGTCACTTTTTTAAACCTTCAGAGAACGGTAACTTTTTTTTGACACAATTATTTATTTTTTTTTTTTATCTGAAGTTTGAACCACAGCTTTAGAGCCAAAGTGACGAGACCTGACAATTTCATTAGTCAAAGTCAATATGACAACGGGGATTTTTTCAGAAGAAAAATGGATTTATTCCTTTTTATTATAACTTTTTTTCTCGATCGCAAATCCCACTATGATTTGTGTCCTCCGATGCAACCACTTCAATAATGTACACATGTTATTTCCTCTGAGGACACAGCTAATGCTGACGGAGACAACTTATACGATCACTTGGAGGCCGCTGGCTGCTACGTGGTCCAAACACTACAGGGCGTTTCGCGCTCTATGTGGTCCGCTTTAGACCCTGTGAATCAATCTAAATAGAACGAGCTCGTTTATGGGTACTTTCTCTTATCGATAGCCGCAAAAGTATGGAAGTCAATCCAGTAGAACGGTAGAACAAACTGTGACAAATATGAAAATTTAGGGGGTAAATTAAACTAGAGGAAATATAACTAAACTGGACGTATTTATGCTAAATGGATCTATGTGCAAGTTGAAAGATGGGGTGTGCTCGTTAGTGCTTGGGTCATAAGAATGAATGAGAATGTAAAAGCGCCAATGACGTCAGCGGTGATGAAGCCGCCCTCGCGGCACTGGTTTGTCGGCTTTAACTCATGAGCCCTGTCCACAAGGCTCTTGTCACATGCCCACGGCTCACGAGTTGGCGCTCAGATCCTTTTGATTTAATGTCAAATCCCGCTTTTCCGTTTTCTCAAAAGGAGCTATATCCACTGACCACCTTGTTTCTTATGCAGCTTCCACAAGCAAACCCCATATTTCCACTTCCACATATATGTAGTTCCCTTTAGCATAAATACGTCCAACTATGAAACTAGGTCTGAGCTATCAAGGACGATCTCGATCATCATTACCTGATGACTTCTTTCTGGAGGGCGTTTCCCTGATTTGTCCTCCTATGCGAGGTCGCCCCGAATCCAGTCGTGACCCCATACAAATCCGTGCCTTTGCTCATGGCTTGCATGACCCACTCTTTGCTGCGTTGAACAGCCGGCCGTGCAGCATCAGAGAGCTCTACCCTCACGTCATGGACACGCGCCATGGCCGCTACTTGGGCCACGGTCAAATTTTTCCCGTCCAGGTGGACGATTGGCTGCCGATACTCCTGTACCATAAGCTTAACGTCGTCGAGGTGACTGCCTTTGAAGGAATCGGCCCATGACGTCCAGTTCAAAGGGTCCTTCGGATGGTGCTCTGCGCCTGAGGACGATCCGTTGGTCATCCCCGTAGGAACCGTCTTCGAGGGTAGGTGACTTCCGCCATTGAAGAGGGGCAGGTTCTTTGGTTCTGGTCTCTCCGTTGATATTGGAACGTTGCTGTTACAATGAGACATCTGTAAAACACAATCAAATTGCTTCAAATGTCTCTGATAGTCGCAAAAATTTGCAAGATCTTTTTGATGGAATCAAAGTTGAATATCTAAGGATTAAGAAAATGTCGACCATCCAGAGCATTCTACGTTTCAAGCGAGAAATCTTCATTTGAAGTTGACGTCTTTTTGTGGTTCCTCATTGCAAAATGTAATCCAATTATTTTCAAAAATGATTGCAGCACTGAACAGCATATGGATTGCATTTTGCAAAAAGGAACCAGGAGCATTGTAATGATGCAGAGATTGTGCAACTTCTTTTGCCTTGGAAGAAAAACCCGATTATCCATTAACGATTTCTATTTTGCTCGCTAAAAACTGTAAATTTAAGACAAAAATTCCCATGTAAATTTCATATTTTTTCATGATTTCAGTATTTTCGTTGCAAAAGGTGAAGTTGCACAATCTTAGCATCATTGCAATGTTTCTGGTTCCTTTTTGCAAAATCCAATCCATTATTGTAGCAATCCTCAAGAGTGATTACATTCCTACCGTCGAAGATAAAGAACGCAGACAGACTGAATTACTCTTTATAAACATTTTCCGAGAAACGCGGTTCGTGGTACTTCCACCATCGAAATCTAAGATATTCGGTAATGCTTAGAGTACACACACGTATGATTGAAATACCCTTGAAAGTGAGTTTGCTAAGCTTTTGTCTCAAGTGTCCGTACATGAATCTCGAGAGGAAAAGTCATCAATGAGCATAGTTGTCATTTATCGATACCGCACAATGTAAATCAACGAGATCCGTATTTGAAGGGGGGGGGGGGCTTCAAGATCTTCACGCATAATACGACAAGTGGGCTTGTTCAGAAAATTTTAATTGTTGCGTTTTCGGAAAACAGCGAAAGCATTTAGATCACAGAATGTTTTCCGGATTTTTGGGACGATTTTAATTCGTTAAAAATGAGCTCGATCGAACGTCATGTGCCATTAGGAGATTCTCCTCTGTCCACTAGAGTTAGCCTTCAATTTCGCAGGCTAGGCAACAAAATATACCAGAGCTCCCGATATAAGTGATTATTTACTTCTCCAACCAAAGACCTCAACCTATCCTGCTCCATGTTTTGATTGAACCGATGAGTAATTTCGATAACCAATGCGAAACCACCTGTCACCAAATGCGATGTCGCGTCGCATAAGCTTCCTGTCATACTTTATTTTCTGATTGGGGAACTAGTCGATTTAAATTCTTGAAAACTTCCTTGATTTCTCCTCTCCACTAGCAGAATATTCCCCAGAATTTTCAAGCCATGTAGTTGACTTGTTTTTCTTCCGAAAACGAAAATAGGAGCAAAGATTTTGAAACGCAACAATGCTGCCGTTCTAAGGAAAAACGCCGTGTGAACTTCCAGGCGTTGCCAAATTTCCTTTGACAAAACGCGAATTCCCTGGTAAACTTATGAATATTTTCTTCCCAATTTTTCAAATAATTATATTCGCAATATGACCCGAAGATTTTGAAAATTTGAAGGAAAAATATTCATAACTTTCCACAAAAATAAACATTTTATCGAAGGAAATTTGGCAACTCTCGAATGTTCATACGGCGTTTTTCCTTAGCACGGCAGAATGGAGATACGTGGTTCCGCACTTTATAGCCATCAAAATGCAACAATTAAAAATCACTGAACAAGGTCATCAATGCTCGCATTGTAATGGATTCCGCAGGATTACGCTTCGGATAGATGGACTACATTTTGCAATTTGGAGCTATAAATTCTAGACCGGTTTAAAAACAACGTATATGCCATTAGTTTCCCTATGCACATGAGTGTTTTTCCAGAAGAGCCAGAATTTACAGTTCCAAATTGCAAAATGCAGTCCAGATGATGTTTTACTAAAAAACGTCGACCGTTCCACGCACAAACTACCTAGGTCGAGAAACTAACTCGCCGGTTACCTTCAAAGAACGTCGACCCGGCGATCCGCCGTTCTTTGAGAGGCAACAGTCACCGATGACCCTGTTTGTGGAGTCTAGTTTAAGCGTGAGACGGAAGCTTCAACGTTACAAATCCCCCATTGGCTGAGTCAAATCATGGCGCGAGATGAACGGAGGTCATTTGAGCAGAAAACATTTCGCTCTTTCCGGCAGGTCTATTGCCTATCCAGCAAAATTGAAGGCGAACTTCGGTGGACAGAATCTCCAAATAATTTGACACGTCGTTTACTGGTGTCATCGAAGCATGGCGCAAGATTAATATGTTTCGGCCAGTGTTCGAAACTCCCCTGGTAAAAATTGGCGATTAGAGCTGCGTTTCAAAATACCATAGGAATTCTTATAACCGGCTAAAGAAAGCTACAGAAAATCATATAGGTGGCTGTAGAATATGGAGAAAATCATACGGCCGGGCTATACGAAGCGATAAACAATTATGCAGCCGGGCCATAGTTCCTATCGCCGGGCTATACACTTTATCGCCTGGCTGTTGCTTTTTCGCCATAGATTATAAAAGGCTATAAGAAATTGTGTAGGAATTCGTGTGCTTTGGAAATCATCAAGTTTGATACGGAGCTACCTTAATATTTACAAAACACACATTATATTTTCCTTTAATACATATTTTTTTTCATCAATTAAAATGAGAATAATCCATACAGGATGTGCAAACATTTCAAAATCATGAGTTGAATAACGCTGACTCCGCCGGATTAAATATTAGTGCCTAACACAAAGCGGAGCGGCGACGCACTGCCGCCTACAAACCTAACAGGGATACTTCACGCATTGCGCAACGCGTGAAGTATCCCTGCTAGGTTTGTAGGCGCCGATGCGTATTTCGCGCTAGCTACCCGCCTGCCACGGCGCTTGAAGCAACTATTTCACATCAGAGGTATTGCACAGTATCATACAAAACTGAAGGCGCTCTAATATATTAGTAATGGCAGGCATCCATCAAAAGTACGGAGCTTTCCTCGCAAAATAAATCAAGATACTACGGCCCAAAAAGAGAGCGGTAGTCCAAAAACTCACTAAGTCTTAGCATCCGTAATTAGTAACGTTTAGCATACACTTTATCGCCAAGCTGTTGCTTAATCGCCATCATCTATAAAAGGCTATAAGAAATTGTGTAGCCGGTTACAGAAGCTATTGGAAATCTTACAGCCGGCTGTAGGTCTATGGTATTTTGGAACACAGATTCTACTGCCAATTTTTACCAGGGTTACAGGCGCCAACGCGCCAACTGCGCCTAAGAAATCGGTCATGGTGCCTAAAAAATGAAGGCTCTGCGCCAATGTGGCCCCTCAAAATTGCCCCCCCCCCCACAAAAAAAATCCTAACTTTTCTGTTGGGCGATTTTTTTAAATTTTGACGCACGGCGGCACCGGATTCTGACTTTTTACTAAGTGCGCCGTGATATGCCGGCAAACAGTCAATTTGGCCCCTACAACATCATCAATGGCCCCTAAAAATCGAGCTTGATGAGCTACATGGCTCCTGAAACTCAAAGATGAGTTTCGAACTCTAGTCCCGGCCGAAGTTGCATCGTTGCAAAATTTCATTTGATAACTAATATCTCAATGTTTTCTATTTTATTCAGAGCTTGCCGAAAGTGACCCTCTATGATGCTTCGTAACCTTTTAATTGGTTACGTTTCGTTAAAGAAGGCACGTTTCCTTTGAAAATGTTCATCATTTGATAACTTTCATTCCATCCGCTTAAAAGCTCGCTAAAAAATAGGTACACTCTTCACGGTAAAACTGGTGAAACCCCGCTGATGGCTTTTAATATCCCCGCATGAGAGCTTCTCGACTTCACCCTTGTTTTTGTTTGGAGTTTACGTTGAAATATTTATGCTGTACTTACGTTTTGCGAAAAGATCTATTGAGTGCATCGACTTATTAATCGACATCCAATCAAATACATCACGCACAGTAATTTACACTTAGTGTGTTTGTTATACGAGTTTTCCGAGATGGATAAAAACTTATTTACACGTTTTTAGCACATGTAAGTAGAACAATAAAATCACAAAATAGTGTAACGTATTGGAGGTTGATGAACCCCACCCTGCGGATATGATAAGTGGAGTACATAATCCATACAGGGAAAAAGGAGACTTCTATTCCACGGTCGGGCCAGGTGGCTGTGCATTCCTAGTTTTTCCTGTTTTGATCACGTACTTCAGTTACTAGATTATTCCCTCAGAGATCCGAATTCGATATGTTCTGGAACGTCGTAGTACTTCGTGATTTTGGTCTATCGAATGTGTGAAAGGAAATAAGCAAGTAAAAGTTGTATTTATCTCGTGAATTGTTAAAATAATTGAGAGACAACCTTGAACTTTAAAGTGTGTGTGTACGGGGTGGTATCCAACGGCGTAACTTGCTAAACGCGCGTGGGCCCGCTCCCAGACTATATTTCTAGGTCCCCCTTCAATACCCCCCCCCCCCGAATCCGTTAAGGGATTGCAGTAAAATGTTTTAAAAAAATTAAAAATTCCAGCAGGCGACTGGGCCCCTTAAAGTCGCGGGCCCGCCCGCAATCACGCTGCTGATAGTAACTTTTAACTACAGTATCGAAACAAACTCAGCCTGAAAAATGTAACGCTGAAATCCGGCCTGTAAACAATGTTGTTACAACTTTGCGTAATTTGGAAATGTGTGCATGTGTGGGCAACATTTTGTGACTGGTGCTACTCATCAAATGGACTGCATTTTGCAATTTGGAACTATAGATTCTGGCTCTTCTGGAAAAACACTTATGTGCAAAGGGAAACTAATGGCACATACGTTGTTTTGTTACCGGGCTAGAATTTATAGTTCCAAATTGCAAAATGTGGTCCATACTTCTCTTCTCTACACTGCCGTGCTAAGGTGGAGCGCCGTATGAACGTTCGAGAGTTGCCAAATCTCCTCCGATAAAATGTTTATTTTTGAGAAAATTTATGAATATTTTCCTTAAAATTTTCAGACACTCCAGATCAAATTACAAACAAAGTCATCTGAGAAAT